ACAGGCAGCACACTGTATAGTATGGCTTCATCCTTCATTTGGGTGAGTAGAGATAAACGATCCACATCAGCAGTGGAAAACAAAAGCAGCTCAGGCTCCATAACAGGGAAATGTGACAGTTAAGAGACTCTCTATGCTAAAGGCCAGCTTAGATGCTGGAACCCCATTTCTGTATAATAAGCAGCCCTGACAGTTCCATTCCATGTCACAAGTATCAAAGCCATTGTCTTTGGCTTCCAGGTAGGTCTCCTGAAATAAGGATAATAAAAAAAACCAAACCATAATTTGCAATCAGAGGACAAAAGAAACCTAAGTATATCACTGACTTCGATCTCTCTTATCTCTACAAACTAAGTGGGGAACAGAAATGGCATATCCAAGAACATAAGGTTATTATCTTAGAGGGGGGAAAATGTACCTAGTATATGACCCCAAGAAAAATTTTTTAAAAACTGAGATTTAAAAAAAATCTACCAAATTACAGAATCTATAAGCAGATTCTTTCCACTCCATATTTAAGACTATATTCCTCCCCACAACTATACCCAAAAAACTGGGTGGGGAGCAGGATGATAAAAAGACTAGTTAGTATTTACAGGGAAATAAAAACAGACTACAAAAAGTCAAGGAGGCTAAATGATTTGCCCAAGGTCACACAGCCAGAGGCAGGCAGACCAAGAACAGAAGGGCAGTCTGCTGACCCTCCTCGCGCTCCTGCTCCATCAGAACTTGCTACCTGTTTGATCATGGAATCGGCATGGGTCAGATTCACACTGATCTCAGCAGGAGCTTTTTGCCTGAATTAAGAGCCAGTTCTGAAGATGAAAAATTCTATAGAAGTCCCAAGTATGGCTGTTACTATTAAAAAGCCATTTTCCTCTTAGTCACAGAAAATCTCAACAGCAAATCAAAATTTAATATTGATCTTGCTCCTTTCTCCTCTGAGTACAAGAGTTGAAGGGTCTTCCCTCTCTGACTTCCTCCCACTACACAACAGCTTTTAAGCAGCAGATCCTATTGCCACCCCCTCTCCACGAATATATATTATTTCTCAGCAGGCTCCTGCAGGAATAGAAAAGGAGCCAATATGTGAGAGAACGAACATAAGATCTCCCATAATAGCATAGAGAAGACAGAAAATTGCTGCCAAAAGTGTAAATTACTTTTTCTGCTTGAAAAAAAAAGAATCACTCTGGGCTTTAAAGACGCCCTCTTAAAAGATGACTCCACAGTGGTTGATATTCATGTTCTACATATTAGGATTTTAGCTCCTCCATGCTCTCCAAGAATCCTTGCCATCTATATGACTGCATCATGGATTTGAAGAATAAACTACCAGATGGAGGGGCAACAGGCAGTTACTCCGTGGAGCCAAAGGAAGGCTTGGCTGGCTGCTCCTCAGGAAGTCTAAAAGCACCTTTTTTGCTGCTGACACTCAGAGGACACTGTGAGGATGAGATGAAGAAGTATCTCTTTATAGTGACAAAAGCTGAGTAAAGGAGAAGCAGCTTGCAGAAAACAGAGGCCACAGCAATTCAATGTCAAAGCAAGGAAGAACTCCCAGGTCAGAGGAACAAGACCAAAGTGATCCTCTGAGGACTGTGTTTGAATCTTCTTGGCTTTCAGAGGAACAAGACCAAAGTGATCCTCTGAGGACTGTGTTTGAATCTTCTTGGCTTTCATTCTGGGTCACAAAAAGAAGTGCGCTGGCCTGGCCTCTTGGAGACAGTGTGAATGGTGGTTGAGGGCATGAGCCCTGAAGCCAGACTACATTAAAGTCCTCGCTCTGCCACTTACTAATTGTGATCTAGGGCAAGCTAATCTTTCTGAGCATTAATTTCCTCATTTTACAAGTAGGATAATAACTACATTATAAGCTTTACATGAGGATTAAATGAGAATATACATAAAGCACTTTACAAAGTAAACTTTTAATTAATGGAAGCTATGATTATTATTGTTGTTAATTAGCAGAACAATGACAAAATAAAATTCAGGGCACAGGACAGACATGATCAAAAGTACAAATACATGATCACCTCATGTCAAATAGTTTAAGAACTCAAAACAGAAAAGGGGAAAGGCAGGGAGACTCCAGCCGGTAGAAAGAGAGGAAAACATAGATCTATTGCAGACCAATCCATTTCAATAGGAGAGAAATTTTCCTTTGTTTCTACCATTGTGGAGAGTGGCTGGAATCCAGTTCTCCCTGAACTTCTGTGCAGACAGTAGGAAGTGGCTGTGTGGAAAGAATGCTAGCAAAGGAGACACAAGTATAAGAATCCAAGCAGACCTGGAACTCAGGCTCTCCAGATTCATCTCCATTCCCTGCACCGGCAGACTCATACTTCCTTTCTGTTTCCCTTACACATCAAACCCTCATTTAATACTGTCAGCAGTACAGAAGCCTTTGGAACAAAACTCTGTTTGGCTTATTGAGATGAAGTGTATATCATAAATAAGAGAACTTTGAGATCAAAGGCAATCTGCGTGAAGCGTTAATTGGAATAAATTGAGCCAAATGATAGCTCAACACAAGCAAAATGAATGGAACCAACAAGTACGAATTTAAAAGTTAAAAAGAAAATGACTCCTCTTTCCTCTTTCTGCCAAATTGAAACATGCTCATTGTACCAAAAAGGGTTCTGTCA